ATATTATATATTAAATATACATACATAACACAGCCACACCCACACTCAAATAAACACACAAATAAGCATGGAGCTGCGTGTTGGGAACAAATATCGCTTGGGCCGTAAGATCGGCTCCGGCTCTTTCGGCGACATCTATCTGGGCACAACTATCAACACGGGCGAGGAGGTGGCCATCAAATTGGAATGCATACGCACCAAACATCCACAGCTGCACATCGAATCAAAGTTCTATAAGACAATGCAAGGTGGGATTGGCATACCGCGAATCATTTGGTGCGGCAGCGAGGGCGACTACAATGTGATGGTGATGGAGCTGCTTGGTCCGTCGCTGGAGGATCTATTTAACTTCTGTTCGCGGCGCTTCTCATTGAAGACTGTGCTGCTGCTCGCGGATCAAATGATATCGCGCATTGACTATATACACTCACGCGACTTCATACATCGCGACATCAAGCCGGACAACTTCCTTATGGGCCTCGGCAAGAAGGGCAATCTGGTGTACATAATTGACTTTGGTTTGGCCAAAAAGTTTCGCGATCCACGCTCCTTGAAGCACATACAATATAGGGAAAACAAGAACCTGACGGGCACCGCACGCTACGCGTCGATCAACACGCATCTGGGCATTGAGCAGTCGCGACGCGACGATCTCGAATCGCTTGGCTATGTGCTCATGTACTTCAATTTGGGCGCCCTGCCCTGGCAGGGCTTGAAGGCGGCAAACAAGCGACAGAAATACGAGCGCATCTCTGAAAAGAAACTGTCCACATCGATCGTTGTGCTCTGCAAGGGCTTCCCCAGCGAGTTCGTAAATTATCTAAACTTCTGCCGGCAGATGCACTTCGATCAGCGCCCCGATTACTGCCACTTGCGTAAGCTGTTCCGCAACCTATTCCATCGGCTGGGCTTCACCTATGACTATGTCTTCGACTGGAATTTGCTCAAGTTCGGCGGCCCGCGCAATCCACAAGCCATACAGCAGGCGCAGGATGGCGTCGACGGTCAGGGCCAGGGTCAGGGTCAGGATGCAGCTGCTGCAGCGGCAGCTGTGGCCGCTGCTGCCTCCCATCAGCAGCAGCAACAGCACAAGGTCAACACGGCAATGGTCACAGCCAGCGGCAGCACACAACAGATGCTGGGCAGCAGTTCGGGTGCTGGCCAGACGCTCGCCATGCTCGGCGGCGGTGGCGGAGCCGGTGGCAATGGAGGCGCTGGTGGCCAATTGATTGGCAACGGGGGACTCAACATGGATGACTCGATGGCGGCCACCAATTCCTCGCGACAACCCTACGATACGCCGGAGCGACGTCCATCGATACGGATGCGTCAAGGCGGAGGGCTTCAAGCTGGCGGTGTTGTGGGTGATGTACGAAATGCTAAATAATATTTTATTGTTTAGAATGTTATATGCGAGGATGCGAAACAAAAACAGACGGCAACCGCCCCACACACACATACGCCTACGTACAGCAGCTGCAGCCTCCTACACACACATATATATACAAACACACATTTAGTATATTGCGCTCTTTATATATACATTACTATGTATATATATTGATATATAATTGATGTATGCGTACATAACATGTTATATGTATAGTTCATTCAGCGACCTGGTCGCTGACATGTTGCAGTAACACACACAGCCTACACCCCTCCCCACACACCCAGGCAACGAGAAGCAAACAGCTGCGCTTTCCTTTTGTATATTTTTGTTTGTTTTTTTTTTATGCTTAATTTTTTTGCTTTCTTGAATATTTGCGTTTTGCTTTGATGCTTCTGATAATGATGTGAATGATGATGATGTTGATGATGTTGCTGATGATGATGAATCATCAGGCAATGGTTATGATTAATATATGCTAAGTTTAACTTATAATTTTAGTTGATAAACAATTGCAAGTCGGCGGCAAAAAAGCGAAAGTATGCACTACAATTAATGCAAGCTCCACCTGCAAAATACCGTTATTCGTTAAACAACAATTTGTAATCTGTTGAAGCAGAGAGAAAAAAGGAGAGCGAGAGACAGGATGATGATATTGAATATGACAACAGTTGAAAACGAAGAAAACAACAGCGTAAAACAGAGACAAAGAAGAAAAGAGTGAAGGAGAAGAAGAGAAGAGCTCGAACTCAAAAACCAAGACACAAACACAAAGAGAAACCAACATCTACACCAACACCAACACCCACTCCAACTTCTACTCTAACACACACACGTATCACATCCGCTCTCTAGCTAGTTCTGCGTGTGTTTTGCATTTACACTGCTTAACAAAAAACAGGATAAACAAATTATTTGCATTTTGTTTACTTTTTTGCTCTGTACAACACGAACAACAAAAACAACAATAGTAGTAGCAACAGTAACAACAACAACAGCAACAAATGAGAAATTTATCAACCAACTCAACTGAACAAATGGCATTAACGATTTATATTAAATGAAAGGGCATATATATTATAAATTAATATTTAAATATTAAATACAAAAATGATGAGAAAAAAAAAGATAACGAAACATATTTTGAATATAAGTTGTAAGCTTTGAGTGTAAAGAAAACAAACAAAGGACACAATATGCGCCAGTGTCCCTAACTTTTAGACTAGTTACCTAGCATAAAAATATTCATATATTTGTATATTTATATGTATATGTATATACATTTATATATATATGTATACATATAAAATACAACTAATGATTAATTCATAAAACAACAACAAATTTAAGCAGACATTTCGTGCACCAACAACAACTACATACATACTTAAATCTAAGTGTATAATTCATTATGAAAACATTTTGAAAACAAGTAAAAAAAAAAAAGAAAAAAGAACTGCAAAAAAAATGTAATTAAATTCTATCCAACCCCTTGTAGCTTTAAGCAACTCTAATTTGTAACTAATTGATTGCAAACAAAAGGAATTTGTAAAAAAAAAAACACTTTATTTTTTTTTCGCCTGATTTACATTAGTTTTTAACTTAATAGATATGTGTTCAATATAATTTGCGAGCTCTGTTTCTGCGTATTTCTCAACGATATAATTAAAAAACGAAAGTAAATGGAAAAATAAAAACAAATATGTAACTAATAACTTAATACATAAACTATACATATATATACACACACTCACACCCACAAACACACACAAACACACACTACATAACAATGTACTTTGCATTATATTATATATTTTCAATTAGTTTGTTAAGTCGTTAAGGGGCGTCAGCTGCGCATTAAAATTATAACGCTAGCTAATAAATTGTAGCTATAATATGAAATTTGTCTATAAGTAATACCAAACCATTAAAAAAGAGAAACTACAATAAATAAACAAAATTGCTAAATATAAAAAAATCAAAATAACGAAAAACCAATTAAGTAAATATAAATGTAATTCGAATTCTGCGCAAGTCAAGATGATGAATTATGAATATAGAGACAAGAAATAAGAACGTGCAAAACAAAAGCAAACAAGCAACAAATTATCTTATGAAACACAACAAAAAAGGAAACTAAGCAAAAGATTTAAATTCTATTGATGTGAAACTCTATAAAACGTAAAGATTTCATGATTAAAATTTATATAACTTACGATCATATATACGTTTAGAAGACGAGCAAGTAAAAGCATAAAACAGAAATCTGAAAGTTAAATAAAAAAAATGCATTACGTGATATTTCTTACAAATTGTTTCATTTGTGTTCTTTTCTTTTCCTATAATTTTATTTCTTTCAATTGGTTCGAAAATTCTACCGTCGACTGAGCTGACTTTTAGTTTGAGTTGATTCCCCCAAACGCACGCCTTGTAACTTGACCAAAAGAGAAACAAAATTATAAAATAAAACATCATTTTCCATAGAAAACGGAAATGGAAAAGCCCGTTAGATAGTGTGTAAACCGGAGACGAAAGTTGGAGCAAAACGGAAACGAAAACGGAATTTAAAGAGTCCGTTAGATAGTGTATGAACCACTGCTGAACCACTGAACTAGTTCGCGAAATGCAAAAGCAAAAGCAACTTAACTGAATGTACATAAGAAATTTATTCAAATAAAAACAAAAACAAAATAACCTTGTGTGATTTTCCTTCTAAATAGCGATTTATCAAAGAAAACTAAACTAACTAAACATAATAATTCAACTCTGAATGGGAAAGGAGAACAAACTATATACTTAAACGCTAAATGTATGACAAGTCCATACGCCGTAAGAAAAATACAAATATATATATATAAAACAAATATAGAAAACGAAACAAATTATAAAAAAAAAAAAATAGAAAAAAAATGGAAAAAATATTACGAAAAATTTGGAAAATTTTGTAAAATTGAATGTATATGTATATTGAGATTAGAATTTTTGATCTAACCTAATTAAACCATTGAAAACTATGTATGTATATGCGATATATGAACATTAACAAACCACCAACAGTGATATGAGATACAAAATAACCAACAAAGAGTTCATAACAATAATGAAAGTAAAAGAAAGATGAAGAAGAAAGAAATCGGAAATCGGAAATCAGAAAACTAATTCAAATTAAACATAAAACAAATTATAAAAACAATAAATAGCTACGAGAGAACTAAAATAGCAACAACAAATTTCCATAAATATTATTGATGTATATTATTATTAATAATACATAATTAAAATTACATTGAAAATGTCAAAGAATAGAATTTTCTGGAGCAAATTTTAAGGCAGAGCAGCTAAAGAAATTAGGTACATATATCAAATGAACTCTGATACATGCACGCATATCTAGTATTTCATTAGCCAAACCACACACAAAATTCACACTCGCATCCACATTCAGACACACCCACACACATACACATCCCAACACCCACTCACAAAGTTCAATAGCATTTGAAACACATTGAACAAAGAACTCATAACAAAGATAAAACGAAAATTAAATAATACTAACTCACATTGCGAAATCAATGTTTAAGTCAAACTAGAAGCGAAAAAGGGTAAATGAATAAAAAAATAATTAATAAGTAATCCATTAAATTAACAAATTGCAACAATATTAGATACACGAAGAAAGCGAACGTCATTTACTGGTAATTGTATGTAATTAATGTCGACAAGAAAAACATAAGAAGAACGCTAAAATGAATAAAATCTATGATTTTGAAAATAGCTTAGCTGGCATTTTTCTTAAAAACAAACTGCAAAATGTTGTTCAACCAACTTTATATCCATTGGAGCAAGGTAATTTATTTTTAAATTTCGCGCCTAAGTCGAACCGCGAAACAAATATTTTTTCTTGCAGACGGTCACACTCATTTATCTGTAAATGTGGTGAAGAGGCGACTGCAACTGTAAACGATACATTGATAGCTACGACAAAAAAAGTATCATAAATATACAACACGTGTATATTTATTTTAGTTCAGCGAATTATTAAAGTTTGCAACAATTTTACATGTATTAAAAATTAATTTATTAATTTATTTTCAATTAAGCTGGGAACGTGACGTTTTCGCGTATATCGCTCATCTCTAGATATGCAAATTGCGCCTATCGCTCATCTCAATTACCACACACTGCTCCCTATCGCCCATCTCTAGTAGCCCAACACAAGTTTGCAAACGAAAAGGTATTATTTTGTAACAATTAGCCATAAAGTTTATACGATTGCTGATTATCAACAATATAAATAAACAATAACATTTGCAATACTTGCGCTGACATACAGGCTACCTCAGAGCGACCAACAACAACAGCTGCAACATGGGCGCAAGGCAATCGCGAGATCCACGTTCCGTTTCAATGGAAAATCCAACTCCTGCCGGCGTCCTCGATATATCCGACGATGTGGTGAAACGCCTGAAGCAGGGTATATCACAGCAGGGTAAAGTACACAGTCCGACAAAGAATTGCAAACAATTGCAATTGCGCCGCTAAGCTTTAAGAACTTACTGTGGCCAAGTGTTATGCAACAATTTGTCAAATGATCATTTATTTATATATAAATTGTATATGCAAACTAACGGAACTTATTGCGACTTGCAGCACGCGAAAATGCGACCGTTGCGGAGGTGTCGAAACCGGTGCCGAAACCCCAGGAATCGCCCAAGAAGGTGGTCGTCAAAGAAGTAGCCCCCGCACCCCCAACAGTTGTCTACCAGGCTCCCACGCCCATCTATGTGCAGGGCGGCGGACACACGATCAGTGCGGCTGATGTGCAGCGTCAAATGAACCAGGAGCTGGTCAAGAATGACGAGCTGTGGAAACAGCGTATGCTGAAGCTTGAGGAGAATCTGAAAAAGACCAACACCATCATGGAGACGGAGTATGCGAACGCCGTCGAGGGTGTCCACAAGCGGTTTGTGAGCACAGCGGCGGCGCATAAGGTCCCACCATGCGGAGACCTCAAGGGCCAGCTTCTCGCCTGCTATCGTGCGCATCCCGGCGAGACGCTTAAGTGCATCGATGAAGTGACCCAGTTCAGGCAATGCGTCGATGTGCATCGCATCAAGAAACTGGATGCCGAAGCCACAGCAGCCAAAGCGCCAGCTGCTGCYGCTGCTGCCAGCAAGGTTGCTGTTAAAGCTGGTTAACGACTTGTTGAACGTTTGAAATTGTTTCTTTCCTATTTGGTTACCCCAAACTTAAAAGCCTTCAGAGATATGTTTAAACGAGAAGAGCGCTATCAAGAGCGAGTGTCATTGTGAACCATAGTAAATTAATTTAATATACATAACAAAGATGTGTTTGTCTATTGCAGATTGTTCATTATCCATCAATGATCTTATAAGAAACGGAAACTGTCTAGTCGATCACTCAAGTTTAAATTGCAATAATTTCTTTTTATTTATGCTTATTTTTCTTTCTATTTTACTAACATTTTGTTAGAAGTTAACTACAAACCCGTAAATACTATATAGCTCAACAAAACACACACAGGCACATATATATATGCATATGTGTGTGTAAATAAGGATTACAGCAGCTGCACGATCAGCCAAGCGGCGAGTAGCGGCAGCAGTGTGAGTCTCAGAGCAGCGGCACTACTTTTACTCTTGCTGTCGCCGGCGGACGACAGATGGCGCTGGCACGATTCATCGAAACTTTTCACTGGACCCATGCAGCCGGCATAGCTCATCACATAGGCCAAGTAGTTCTGCTCGAAGACACCGCGCACCAGACTAGAGCCTGGACCGCTGGCAAACACAATTACATCCTCGCCGCCGTGCGTCTCGTCCTTCAGCGCCAGCGTGGCCATGTGGCGGTAGGTGGGTGATTCGATTTGTTCCTTGGTGTACATCTTGAGCGCCCGCCACACATTGGAGCTGTTTGCGGGCTTTGTCTCATTGGCCAAGTGGTCAAAATAGCCGGGTCCATTGGCATAGGTGATGGTCTCATACACCATGGGATCCTTGGGCTTGTGCAAGTTTGCAGCACCCAATATATCAGCGCCACGCTCCGGATAGCCATTGAATGTGACAGAATGTGAATGATCCGCCGTCACTATAATCAGCGTCTCATCCGAATCGGTCATCTTCAGCGCCGCCTGCACGGCCAGGTCCAGTTCGTAGACCTCGTGCAAGGCAGCGCGAGCATAGTTCTGATGATGACCCTGGTCAATGCGCCCGCCCTCGACCAGCAGCACATAGCCCTTCGACTTGTCGCCACGTTCCAGCACTCCGACCGCCGCCTCCGTCATGTCCTGCAGCGAGGGCTCGCCCTCCTCACGGGCAATCGAGTAGGTGATGTGATTGTTGCGGAACAGGCCCATCAGATGATCCACCTCCTTCACATCCACCTGGAGCAGCTGCTCTCGCGTGTAGACCAGCTTCGCCTCTTTGCTGTCATTGGCATGTCGCTGCAGCCACTCAGTGGCCAGATTGCGATTATCGCCGCGCTTGCAAATGGTCTCGGTGCCGCCCTCGAACTGGACGGTCTTCACCTCCGACTCGTTGAACGCGCCCATGGGCGACAAGCCGCCGCCTAGCACCACGTTCAGCTTGTTGCCGGGCGCATTCTCCACAAGCTGGCGCGCAATGTCCGCATGGATGCCCACTGACTCCTGAGGCACTTCCGTGTCGCACTCCCAGTCCCGATGATAGATCCTTGCATAGGTTGCCGCAGGTGTGGCGTGTGTTATACGTGTGGTAGTCACGACGCCGGTGCGCTTGCCCTCGCGCTGTGCCCAGTCCATGATGGAGTCGAGTCGGCCCTGGCTGGCGTTCGTCGTTGAGCGCGTCGAGTCCATGCCAATGGCTCCATAGTCGGTCTTGACGCCAGAGAATATGGCCGTGGCTGTGCCCGCCGAATCCGGCACCTGTTTGTCCACGTTGTAGGTCTGCCAAGGACAAAATTAATAGATTATATTTGATTTATGGTTGATGGTTCAGGATACTAATTCGACTCGATGACTGAATGAGCCTCTGATTGGCACGATATAAGGAGAGGTCCATAAAAAGCAATCAATCAGCATCAATCAGTTTAGTCTGAATAATATATTAATTGCATAACCTGATTGCTTAATAGACTGAATGATAAAATTACAAATATAAGGAGAGATTGAGAAAGTGCATTCATCAATCGTAAGCTGAGATGGCGCTTGATTGAACCATAGATTTCTGAAGTGATAGGCTAGACAATTGCTTGATTGACTAATT